TGTCACATTTTTGGCTTCGTACTAGTCCCTGGATTTTCATCGCACAGACTTCTAACATGTCATTTCTCCATCTGGACGGATTGAAGTTATGCAATCATCGCAAAAAAGTTAGAATTTTGTTATCGTTTTCATACGAGGTAGTAGGGAATTTCTCCATGTTTGATGCTCTCCTGACCACAGGCTCAGACCTACAGAGCTAAAACTCACATCGCTAACAGTTGGTAATGGCAAAATACTACTCTACGTAGAGGGTGCATGTCCCGGAGGTGACCACTAGGGGCGCACTTTATTATATAAATGAGCTTTTATATACGTAATCCTGGTCAGATTGGGCTGCCAATTCGTCGGCCTGAAGCTTGTGGGACTGGCGCCCGGGAGGCGGTCGCAAGAAGGGCGAGGCCTGTGTGTGTGTGTATGTGTGTGTGTGTGTCTGTGTGTCTGTGTGTGTGTGTGTGTCCGTGTGTGTGTGTCTGTGTGTGTGTCTGTGTGTGTCTGTGTGTGTGTGTCTGCGTGTGTGTGTGTGTGTGTGTGTGTCTATGAATGTACCCAGAGAAAACATACACAGACACGGGGAGAACATGCAAACTCTCCCCTCAGTCCTGGTCTCTCTCCTCAGTCCTGGTCTCTCTCCTCAGTCCTGGTCTCTCTCCTCAGACCTGGTCTCTCTCCTCAGTCCTGGGCTCTCTCCTCAGTCCTGGTCTCTGTCCTCAGTCCTGGGCTCTCTCCTCAGTCCTGGTCTCTCTCCTCAGTCCTGGGCTCTCTCCTCAGACCTGGTCTCTCTCCTCAGTCCTGGTCTCTCTCCTCAGTCCTGGGCTCTCTCCTCAGTCCTGGGCTCTCTCCTCAGACCTGGTCTCTCTCCTCAGTCCTGGGCTCTCTCCTCAGTCTTGGTCTCTCTCCTCAGTCTTGGTCTCTCTCCTCAGTCCTGGTCTCTCTCCTCAGTCCTGGTCTCTCTCCTCAGTCCTGGGCTCTCCCCTCAGACCTGGTCTCTCTCCTCAGTCCTGGTCTCTGTCCTCAGTCCTGGGCTCTCTCCTCAGTCCTGGTCTCTCTCCTCAGTCCTGGGCTCTCTCCTCAGACCTGGTCTCTCTCCTCAGTCCTGGTCTCTCTCCTCAGTCCTGGGCTCTCTCCTCAGTCCTGGGCTCTCTCCTCAGACCTGGTCTCTCTCCTCAGTCCTGGGCTCTCTCCTCAGTCTTGGTCTCTCTCCTCAGTCTTGGTCTCTCTCCTCAGTCCTGGTCTCTCTCCTCAGTCCTGGTCTCTCTCCTCAGTCCTGGGCTCTCCCCTCAGACCTGGTCTCTCTCCTCAGTCCTGGTCTCTCTCCTCAGTCTTGGTCTCTCTCCTCAGACCTGGTCTCTCTCCTCAGTCTTGGTCTCTCTCCTCAGACCTGGTCTCTCTCCTCAGTCTTGGTCTCTCTCCTCAGACCTGGTCTCTCTCCTCAGTCTTGGTCTCTCTCCTCAGACCTGGTCTCTCTCCTCAGTCCTGGTCTCTCTCCTCAGTCCTGGTCTCTCTTCTCAGTCCAGGTCTCTCTCCTCAGACCTGGTCTCTCTCCTCAGTCTTGGTCTCTCTCCTCAGACCTGGTCTCTCTCCTCAGTCCTGGTCTCTCTCCTCAGTCCTGGTCTCTCTCCTCAGTCTTGGTCTCTCTCCTCAGACCTGGTCTCTCTCCTCAGTCTTGGTCTCTCTCCTCAGACCTGGTCTCTCTCCTCAGTCCTGGTCTCTCTCCTCAGTCCTGGTCTCTCTTCTCAGTCCAGGTCTCTCTCCTTAGTCCTGGGCTCTCTCCTCAGTCCTGGGCTCTCTCCTCAGACCTGGGCTCTCTCCTCAGTCCTGGTCTCTCTCCTCAGTCCAGGTCTCTCTCCTCAGACCTGGTCTCTCTCCTCAGTCCTGGTCTCTCTCCTCAGACCTGGGCTCTCTCCTCAGTCCTGGTCTCTCTCCTCAGTCCTGGTCTCTCTCCTCAGTCCTGGTTTCTCTCCTCAGTCCTGGTCTCTCTCCTCAGGGAAGATGAATGAATTGACGATGAACCACATAAACAGAGATAATGTTGGATCGAAAGGAAAGACTTGGATCTGCACCAGAATCGAACCCACAACCTTCTCCCTCCGACAGCGCTGGATCAAAACCATTGCAGTGACTGATGGCGTTTCATGGTTTGGATTTTAGAGGCGTAAAAATATCATCATGAATAATCTTATTTGCTTTAAAAATAAATGTTATTTATAAATGCATGGAGCAGCTTCTATTGGATCTAAACCCGCCCCCAGCTCCTCTGTGATGTCACACGTTCATGATAATAATAATAATCCTAGTCCAGCTCCTCTGTGATGTCACACGTTCATGATAATAATAATAATCCTAGTCCAGCTCCTCTGTGATGTCACACGTTCATGATAATAATAATAATCCTAGTCCAAGTCTGAGGCTCCAGCTGCAAAACACAGATCTATGAATAAACAGTAACAGAGGTTTGGTCTCTCTCTCTGGTCTTTCTCTGGTCTCTCTCTGGTCTCTCTCTCTGGTCTCTCTCTCTGGTCTCTCTCTGGTCTCTCTCTGGTCCTCTCTCTGGTCTCTCTCTGGTCTCTCTCTCTGGTCTCTCTCTCTGGTCTCTCTCTGGTCTCTCTCTCTGGTCTCTCTCTGGTCTCTCTCTGGTCTCTCTCTGGTCTCTCTCTGGTCTCTCTCTCTCTCTGGTCTCTCTCTGGTCTCTCTCTGGTCTCTCTCTGGTCTCTCTCTCTGGTCTCTCTCTCTGGTCTCTCTCTGGTCTCTCTCTGGTCTCTCTCTGGTCTCTCTCTCTGGTCTCTCTCTCTGGTCTCTCTCTCTGGTCTCTCTCTCTGGTCTCTCTCTGGTCTCTCTCTCTGTCTCTCTCTCTGGTCTCTCTCTCTGGCTCTCTCTCTGGTCTCTCTCTGGTCTCTCTCTCTGGTCTCTCTCTCTGGTCTCTCTCTGGTCTCTCTCTGGTCTCTCTCTGGTCTCTCTCTGGTCTCTCTCTCTGGCCTCTCTCTGGTCTCTCAATGGTCTCTCTCTCTGGTCTCTCTCTCTGGTCTCTCTCTGTTCTCTCTATGGTCTCTCTCTGGTCTCTCTCTCTGGTCTCTCTCTGGCCTCTCTCTCTGGTCTCTCTCTGGTCTCTCTCTGGTCTCTCTCTCTGGCCTCTCTCTGGTCTCTCTCTGGTCTCTCTCTGGAAGAGAACCTTGTCCTTTAAGCTAGCATGTTAGCATTACCCACCTGCGTACAGTCTGAGGTACATACTGTACTTTCTTCTTAATGAGTTATTAGACATTCCAAACCATGAAACCAGCGACGCTCTTGTAAACACTGTCATCATCACAAACACAAACAACAATGCACCATGTGTGTCGTGTGCACCATGTGTGTCGTGTGTCTCTGCTTTATTGAAATGAATAATCTTGAAATGAATAATAATCTTCCAGACAAAAAGCGACGGAGAGATTTATGAACGCAATGAAATGGAAGCAGTGGATGCGGTCTGCAGATGAACCGATCCACGACCTCAGCACCAGCGATATTTACACTATATTTACACTATATTTACCCTGTATCTAAACTATATTTACATTATATTTACACTATATTTACACTATATTTACACTATATTTACACTATATTTACCCTGTATTTAAACTATATTTACATTATATTTACACTATATTTACACTATATTTACACTATATTTACACTATATTTACATTATATTTACACTACATTTACACTACATTTACACTATATTTACACTACATTTACACTATATTTACACTATATTTACACTATATTTACACTATATTTACACTATATTTACACTATATTTACACTATATTTACACTATACGCCTTACTGCCTTGTCCCAGGTAAACTGATTGAAAAGCTCATGTCTCTGGGTTTAAGTGTTGCCATGTGTAAATGGATTTTTATCTTTTTAACTGACAGATCTCAGAGAGTGTTTTTCTGATGTTGTTTCTGTGAGCACTGGTTCTCCTCAGGGATGTATTTTGAGTCCTTTGCTTTTTACTTTGTACACTCACGATTGTGTGTCCTCCTCTGACTCAAACTTGATCATCAAATATGCTGATGACACCACCATCATCGGTCTCATCAGTGACACTGATGAATCCTCTTATAGAGCAGAGATACAAAATGTGGTTCAGTGGAGTCAAACTAACAACCTCCAGTTGAACGCATCCAAAACATGTGAACTGGTCACGACTTCAGTCGCAATAGTTCTCATTTGTCTGTCGTAATCGACAACTCCCAGGTGCAGATCGTAGAGGAGCAAGTTTCTGGGTTTAACTCTGTCTAACCTGAAATGGGTTAAAAACAGTGACCGAGTCGTTAAGAAAGCTCGTCAGCGTCTCTACTTTCTGCGTAAACTTAGAGAATTTACCACTAACTCTAAGATTGTGCTTAACTTTTATGGCTGCACCATTGACAGTTTACTTGTTGGTTCTGTGTCTGTGTGGTTTGGAAACATCACAGATAAAGAAAAGAGAGCTTTAAACAAGGTGCTCCGCTCTGCAAAGAGGACCGTGGGCTGTGAGCTTCCTGTTCTGGAGGCTCTTTATAAATCCACACTTTTAAACAAAGCTCTTAGGATTGTTAATGACTCTTCTGGCCACCCTGGGAAAGCCATGTTCCAGCTTCTTCCCTCTGGCAGAAGATATCGCTCTCTGAGATGCAGGACATCTCGTTACGCTAACAGTTTTTATCCACAGGCTGTTATCAGTGTGAACAGAGCACTTTAATGATTTGCACTTGTTTTGAAACTGTTTTAGTCGATCCATTTCACAGTGACATTTGTTTACTGTTTTATTTGTTTTATTTTTGTCTTTTAATGTTGTTTTATGTCTGTATTTGTCTGTGCACACTGGAGACTTTTGCTAATGTATTCCAATGTGGTTTTACTGCAAATGGCAAATAAACTGAATCTGATCTATATTTACACTATATTTAAACTATATTTATATTATATTTACATTACATTTACCCTCATTTATACTTTACTCTGCCCATTACGATCTGCATCCGTGTACAGCTGTGTATGTTGACGACGCGGGTTGCCACCACAGGCCGTGGCGTGCGTCAGGACCGTCCGTCACCGGGGTCTGAGGCAGAGCGTGCCAAGGCCTTGTCACCTCCGGACCTTTAATGGCTGCTCCACGCGCCTCCTCCGTGCCCCGGACCCCGGACATACCACGGCTGTCGGCGGGGCTGATGAACGACGGACAGATGCAGAGCGGATAAAAGCAACACAAACAATGTTTTTTTTGTCATTGAGACGTTGAAGAGTAATTAAGACGGAGCAGGAGCAGAGATACAGGCGACAAACGAGTAAATCTGTCTGTGGAGATCAGGGCTGTTCGACCGGTAATCTCCCCGAGGCAGGTGCAGGGAACGGACTGGATACACAGATGCTAACCAGCTAGCTCTACGCGGCCTGATAGGGGTCATAGCCTGAGTCCTGAGTCAGTCCTGGGTCTCTCTGGTCTCTCTCTCTGGTCTCTCTCTGGTCTCTCTCTGGTCTCTCTCTGGTCTCTCGCTGGTCACTCTCTGGTCTCTCTCTGGTCTCTCTCTGGTCTCTCTCTGGTCTCTCTCTGGTCTCTCGCTGGTCCCTCTCTGGTCTCTCTCTGGTCTCTCACTGGTCTCTCTCTCTGGTATCTCTCTGGTCTCTCTCTCTGGTCTCTTGCTGGTCTTTCTCTGGTCTCTCTCTGGTCTCTCTCTGGTCTCTCTCTGGTCTCTCTCTGGTCTCTCTCAGGTCTCTCTCTGGTCTCTCTCTGGTCTCTCTCTGGTATCTCTCTGGTCTCTCTCTCTGGTCTCTTGCTGGTCTTTCTCTGGTCTCTCTCTGGTCTCTCTCTGGTATCTCTCTGGTCTCTCTCTGGTCTCTCTCTGGTCTCTCACTGGTCTCTCTCTGGTCTCTCTCTGGTCTCTCTCTGGTCTCTCTCTGGTCTCTCTCTGGTCTCTCTCAGGTCTCTCTCTGGTCTCTCTCAGGTCTCTCTCTGGTCTCTCTCAGGTCTCTCTCTGGTCTCTCTCTGGTCTCTCGCTGGTCTCTCACTGGTCTCTCTCAGGTCTCTCTCTGGTCTCTCTCTCTCTGGTCTCTCTCTCTCTCTGGTCTCACTCTGGTCTTTCTCTGGTCTCACTCTGGTCTTTCTCTGGTCTCTCTCTGGTCTCACTCTGGTCTTTCTCTGGTCTCTCTCTGGTCTCACTCTGGTGTCACATATTTTCTAATGAGACTGAGAGAGCAGGTTCTGGTCTGTTGTGTTCACTATAAGTCTCTCTCTGTTTGGACAGACTAAATCTATTATTATTCATTAAACAAGAAAGTTACATACCCGAGCTTTAAACGTTTACTCAGTATAAAGCCTATAGTGGTTTAAAACAGTCATAGAAACCCTGGACCCTGTTTCAGTAAATATTCAACACCATAAAGTTCAGTCATGAGCCGAGTAATGATGATGTAACAGTCTGAAGGAGCCGCAGGGACCATGGGAACACAGATTTATGGTTGTGGTGAACGATCGCTGGTGCGAGACCGAGTGGGACTGCACCAGGGCAAAGGAGAGACATGACAGTAACAAACCCATCCTCGTGCTGCGGGAAACTCATGTATTTGTGTAAAGCCCTAAACGACTAAAGTGACTTCAGACGACTTTAAAAACTGTCTTTCTCCAAAAAAGATCAAACACTCAAAGTGATCACAAAATATGTCACAAACTGCTTAAAACATAAGCAGATTTAGACTCTGCTTTGAAACAAATTGTCTCTCTTTCTCTGGTCTCTCTCTCTGGTCTCTTTCTCTGGTCTCTCTCTCTGGTCTCTCTCTGGTCTCTCTCTGGTCTCTCTCTGGTCTCTCTCTGGTCTCTCCCTGGTCTCTCTCTGGTCTCTCTCTGGTCTCTCCCTGGTCTCTCTCTCTGGTCTCTCTCCCTGGTCTCTCTCTGGTCTCTCTCTCTGGTCTCTCTCTGGTCTCTCCCTTGGTCCCCAAATAAAGTTATTTTTAATTAAAGTATTTAGAGTTTGGTGGAACTCTCAGATTTCAAACAAATAGATAAATGTTGTGTGTGAGACCAGAGACTTCTGTGGTCATCAGCAGCTGCTGCACGGTCTGGCTTTAGTCTGGTCCTGGTCTGGTCTCTGAGTCTAACTGGACCCCCCCGCCCCCCCACTCCTTCAGTCCAGCCCGGTTCTTCCATTCAAGGTTTCACAAGAGTCTGGGTCCTATTCTTAACTCTGTTTATGACGGAGCGTGCTCATCCCTGATCCAGACCCTGATCCAGACTTCATTTATGAATTTAAACTGTGGAGAATAGATAATATGTTTCACCTCCTACAGCACAGGGACTGGCCTCCTGCTGGGACTCTGAGGAGCACAGGGACTGGCCTCCTGCTGGGACTCTGAGGAGCACAGGGACTGGCCTCCTGCTGGGACTCTGAGGAGCACAGGGACTGGCCTCCTGCTGGGACTCTGAGGAGCACAGGGACTGGCCTCCTGCTGGGACTCTGAGGAGCACAGGGACTGGCCTCCAGCTGGGACTCTGAGGAGCACAGGGACTGGACTCCTGCTGGGACTCTGAGGAGCACAGGGACTGGACTCCTGCTGGGACTCTGAGGAGCACAGGGACTGGCCTCCTGCTGGGACTCTGAGGAGCACAGGGACTGGCCTCCAGCTGGGACTCTGAGGAGCACAGGGACTGGCCTCCTGCTGGGACTCTGAGGAGCACAGGGACTGGCCTCCTGCTGGGACTCTGAGGAGCACAGGGACTGGCCTCCTGCTGGGACTCTGAGGAGCACAGGGACTGGCCTCCTGCTGGGACTCTGAGGAGCACAGGGACTGGCCTCCTGCTGGGACTCTGAGGAGCACAGGGACTGGCCTCCTGCTGGGACTCTGAGGAGCACAGGGACTGGCCTCCTGCTGGGACTCTGAGGAGCACAGGGACTGGCCTCCTGCTGGGACTCTGAGGAGCACAGGGACTGGCCTCCTGCTGGGACTCTGAGGAGCACAGGGACTGGCCTCCTGCTGGGACTCTGAGGAGCACAGGGACTGGCCTCCTGCTGGGACTCAGAGTCAGGACTAAACATGAGGAGGCAGTGTTTTAGATTCATGCTAAACTATGGAAAAATCTTCTTAAAAATGTGAGACAGACGTCTTCTCTGACAGTGTTTAGATCCAGGTTAAAACTGTTCAGTTTCTGCAACATTTTATTTTCTATATTTACTTGTTTAGTCTCCCACACTCTCCCTCAGTCTCCCTCAGTCTCCCTCAGTCTCCCTCACTCTCCCTCAGTCTCCCTCAGTCTCCCTCAGTCTCCCTCAGTCTCCCTCAGTCTCCCTCACTCTCCCTCAGTCTCCCTCAGTCTCCCTCAGTCTCCCTCAGTCTCCCTCACTCTCCCTCAGTCTCCCTCACTCTCCCTCAGTCTCCCTCACTCTCCCTCAGTCTCCCTCAGTCTCCCTCACTCTCCCTCAGTCTCCCTCAGTCTCCCTCAGTCTCCCTCACTCTCCCTCAGTCTCCCTCACTCTCCCTCAGTCTCCCTCAGTCTCCCTCACTCTCCCTCAGTCTCCCTCAGTCTCCCTCAGTCTCCCTCAGTCTTCCTCAGTCCCCCTCAGTCTTCCTCAGTCCCCCTCAGTCTCCCTCAGTCTTCCTCAGTTTCCCACAGTCTTCCTCAGTTTCCCACAGTCTTCCTCAGTTTCCCACAGTCTTCCTCAGTCTCCTTCAGTCTCCCACAGTCTCCCTCAGTCTTCCTGAGTCTCCCTCACTCTCCCTCAGTCTTCCTCAGTCCCCCTCAGTCTCCCTCAGTCTTCCTCAGTTTCCCACAGTCTTCCTCAGTCCCCCTCACTCTCCCTCAGTCTTCCTCAGTCTCCCTCACTCTCCCTCAGTCTTCCTCAGTCTCCCTCAGTCTCCCTCAGTCTTCCTCAGTCTCCCTCACTCTCCCTCAGTCTTCCTCGGTCTTCCTCAGTCTCCCTCAGTCTTCCTCAGTCTCCCACAGTCTCCCACAGTCTCCCTCAGTCTCCCTCACTCTTCCTCACTCTCCCTCACTCTCCCACACTGTCCCTCAGTCTTCCTCGGTCTTCCTCAGTCTCCCTCAGTCTTCCTCAGTCTCCCTCAGTCTCCCTCACTCTTCCTCGGTCTTCCTCACTCTCCCTCACTCTCCCACACTCTTCCTCACTCTCCCTCACTCTCCCACACGCTCCCTCAGTCTTCCTCGGTCTTCCTCAGTCTCCCTCAGTCTTCCTCACTCTCCCTCAGTCTCCCTCACTCTTCCTCGGTCTTCCTCACTCTCCCTCACTCTCCCACACTCTCCCACACTCTCCCTCACTCTCCCTCGATCTTCCTCAGTCTCCCTCAGTCTTCCTCAGTCTCCCTCACTCTTCCTCACTCTCCCTCACTCTCCCACACTCTCCCTCAGTCTCCCTCGATCTTCCTCAGTCTCCCACAGTCTCCCTCAGTCTTCCTCAGTCTCCCTCAGTCTCCCTCACTCTTCCTCGGTCTCCCTCAGTCTTCCTCGGTCTCCCTCAGTCTTCCTCAGTCTTCCTCACTCTCCCTCACTCTTCCTCGGTCTCCCTCAGTCTTCCTCAGTCTTCCTCACTCTCCCACACTCTCCCTCAGTCTTCCTCGGTCTTCCTCAGTCTCCCTCAGTCTTCCTCAGTCTCCCTCAGTCTCCCTCACTCTTCCTCGGTCTTCCTCACTCTCCCTCACTCTCCCACACTCTTCCTCACTCTCCCTCACTCTCCCACACGCTCCCTCAGTCTTCCTCGGTCTTCCTCAGTCTCCCTCAGTCTTCCTCACTCTCCTTCAGTCTCCCTCACTCTTCCTCGGTCTTCCTCACTCTCCCTCACTCTCCCACACTCTCCCTCAGTCTTCCTCAGTCCCTCACTCTCCCTCAGTCTTCCTCAGTCTCCCACAGTCTCCCTCGATCTTCCTCAGTCTCCCTCAGTCTTCCTCAGTCTCCCTCACTCTTCCTCACTCTCCCTCACTCTCCCACACTCTCCCTCAGTCTCCCTCGATCTTCCTCAGTCTCCCACAGTCTCCCTCAGTCTTCCTCAGTCTCCCTCAGTCTCCCTCACTCTTCCTCGGTCTCCCTCAGTCTTCCTCAGTCTTCCTCACTCTCCCTCACTCTTCCTCGGTCTCCCTCAGTCTTCCTCAGTCTTCCTCACTCTCCCACACTCTCCCTCAGTCTTCCTCGGTCTTCCTCAGTCTCCCTCAGTCTTCCTCAGTCTTCCTCACTCTCCCACACTCTCCCTCAGTCTTCCTCGGTCTTCCTCAGTCTCCCTCAGTCTCCCTCAGTCTTCCTCAGTCTCCCTCAGTCTCCCTCACTCTTCCTCGGTCTTCCTCACTCTCCCTCACTCTCCCACACTCTCCCTCAGTCTTCCTCAGTCCCTCACTCTCCCTCAGTCTTCCTCAGTCTCCCTCAGTCTTCCTCAGTCTCCCTCAGTCTTCCTCACTCTCCCTCACTCTCCCACACTCTCCCACAGTCTTCCTCGGTCTTCCTCAGTCTCCCTCAGTCTTCCTCAGTCTCCCTCAGTCTCCCTCACTCTTCCTCAGTCTCCCTCACTCTCCCTCAGTCTTCCTCGGTCTCCCTCAGTCTTCCTCGGTCTTCCTCACTCTCCCTCACTCTTCCTCGGCCTCCCTCACTCTCCCTCGGTCTTCCTCAGTCTCCCTCGGTCTTCCTCAGTCTCCCTCAGTCTCCCTCAGTCTCCCTCGGTCTTCCTCACTCTCCCTCACTCTCCCTCACTCTTCCTCTGCCTCCCTCACTCTTCCTCGGTCTCCCTCACTCTCCCTCACTCTTCCTCGGCCTCCCTCAGTCTTCCTCGGTCTTCCGTCTACACTTCCAGACAATCCCTTCGTCTCATGTGTCACGTTGTCGCTGAGACGAGAGGTCACATGATCCCGCGGGGGCGCGGAGGGTCCCGAGCTGAGAACCTGGTGCCGCAGGTTCACCGGGGGGGCAGGGATCTGGGCGTGAGGGGGTGTGAGGAAGACGATCTGAGGAAGACGATCTGAGGAAGACGATCTGAGGGGGTGAGCTCAGGCCCCGGCGAGACGAGGAAGAGTGGAATTACGGCGCGATGGAGGGTAAAAACAGAAGCAGATTTAAGAGATGGGTTTCAATGCCATAAAAGCAGAGAACCAGAGACTGCATATTTGTTTGAAGCACAGGTCTACATGGTATCTGGTGTCTCTCTCTGGTCTCTCTCTGGTCTGTCTCTGGTCTGTCTCTGGTCTGTCTCTGGTCTCTATCTGGTCTCTCTCTGGTCTCTATCTGGTCTCTCTCTGGTCTGTCTCTGGTCTCTCTCTGGTCTCTATCTGGTCTCTCTCTGGTCTGTCTCTGGTCTGTCTCTGGTCTCTCTCTGGTCTCTATCTGGTCTCTCTCTGGTCTCTATCTGGTCTCTCTCTGGTCTGTCTCTGGTCTGTCTCTGGTCTGTCTCTGGTCTGTCTCTGGTCTCTCTCTGGTCTCTCTCTGGTCTGTCTCTGGTCTGTCTCTGGTCTGTCTCTGGTCTGTCTCTGGTCTCTATCTGGTCTGTCTCTGGTCTCTATCTGGTCTCTCTCTGGTCTGTCTCTGGTCTGTCTCTGGTCTGTCTCTGGTCTGTCTCTGGTCTCTATCTGGTCTCTCTCTGGTCTCTATCTGGTCTCTCTCTGGTCTGTCTCTGGTCTCTCTCTGGTCTCTATCTGGTCTCTCTCTGGTCTCTATCTGGTCTCTCTCTGGTCTGTCTCTGGTCTGTCTCTGGTCTCTCTCTGGTCTCTATCTGGTCTCTCTCTGGTCTCTATCTGGTCTCTCTCTGGTCTGTCTCTGGTCTGTCTCTGGTCTGTCTCTGGTCTGTCTCTGGTCTCTCTCTGGTCTCTCTCTGGTCTGTCTCTGGTCTGTCTCTGGTCTGTCTCTGGTCTGTCTCTGGTCTCTATCTGGTCTGTCTCTGGACTCTCTCTCAGGTATCATTCTAGTCTCTCTATCTGGTCTGTCTCTGGACTCTCTCTGGTCTGTCTCTGGTCTGTCTCTGGTCTCTATCTGGTCTCTCTCTGGTCTGTCTCTGGTCTGTCTCTGGTCTGTTTCTGGTCTCTCTCTGGTCTGTCTCTGGTCTGTCTCTGGTCTCTCTCTGGTCTGTCTCTGGTCTGTCTCTGGTCTGTCTCTGGTCTCTCTCTGGTCTCTCTCTGGTCTCTCTCTGGTCTCTGTCTGGTCTCTCTCTGGTCTCTCTCTGGTCTCTCTCTGGTCTCTCTGGTCTCTCTCTGGTCTCTCTCTCTGGTCTCTCTCTCTGGTCTCTCTCTCTGGTCTCTCTCTGGTCTCTCTCTCTGGTCTCTCTCTGGTCTCTCTCTGGTCTCTCTCTGGTCTCTCTGGTCTCTCTCTGGTCTCTCTCTCTGGTCTCTCTCTCTGGTCTCTTTTGGGTCTCTAGTAAAAACAGAAGCCGAAACTATTTTCAATGCCCTAAAAGCACAGAACCATAGGCTGCCTAATTATATAAATGTATAATTATATAAATATATAAATGTATAAATGTCTGTGTCATATTTCTGCTGATTTAGTCTGAGG